ACCTAAATTTACTGATTAGAATTCAACCAACTAACCACTAGATCAGATCTGAGTGATCTCTTATACTTTCCCTGTATCAGATTTTTATACTGAACATTTGTTGTTGTAGTTCTGTCCATAAGTCTATGCAAAAATAACAATGAATGTAAATGTACTGGCTCTTAAGCCTTAATTATCAACAACTCTAACTTCAGAGATAGCTTTGAAGACCCTGTTTTGGTGGAAATATATGACGAAAGCAAAGACAGAAGGTTAGGTGCTTTTATTCTGATATGAGTGTAGAAACATATGGTCTTTGTATAGTGCTGCTCTTGTTCACTTTTCACGTTCTGACAGGATCACAGGATCATTTGTACTACAGTAACTTTTGCTAAAGGCATCCTATGATTGTTCTTGACCTGCTTTTTGTTCCAAAGACTCAATTCATGAATAATTTGTGAATATAGTAACCATCTTCAAAACTAGAAAAATCTTTCTGTGGTTAAAACTTAATGCAGTTGAATGACTGAAATGGGAATTTTAAAGAATTTTTTGTATAATTTTGGACATCTTGTTTTAGACAGATTAGCTACAACAACAGGAAAATATGACAGAACCAGGACTTAACATCACCAACCAACCAGCCAAGAAAACTGTGAGGAACATCCACTGTGTAGTCATTGGGGTAAGTCATTGGTAATATGGAGGGACCTCCCAGTTTTCTGAGGTCATAAACTATATGGTCTATGAATGAACATCTAGTTAACACTCCTCTGGCTGTATCTGACTTTCCTCATAACATCTGAAAGCCCTAATCAGGGGCTATTATGCAAGACAGACCTGTTCTCTCACATCTCCAATCATAATGCCTAAACACTGTACTACATACTTAGAGAATGTTATATGACCAGAATCCCTTTTTCTTTTCTACTTTTTTCTTGAGAGAGGGGCTAGAAACTATGCTTTCTGAGTGGAACACAAAACTGGTAGAGAAATAACAAAGGTGAGCAGTACAGTGCTCCAGACATTTGAGAACCTATAGGGTCAAACCACGACTGAACCTAAGCAAGAAAACCAAGTTTCATCTTACTCTGTCCCTTACAGTGAACTGACATTTAATTCTGAAGGAGATGGGACATGGAAGAAGATGTCTTTTTCCTTTTCTTACCAATCTGACTTGCTCCTTATCAAAATATTTTCCTGTGATGACTGAAATCCTTGTTTCCAAGTTTCTGATGCTAGTACTATTACCTCCAAAGAGACAGCAGGATATTACCTGCACTAGCCACAGCCAATCTTTGGCTATCTTGTGCAGAACAAAAATACCAGATTATCAAACGTTTTTGTATCTGCTGCATTTCCTAGGACAGATGCCCTGTTCCAAAGCAATGACAGTAGAAGCAGTGAACTCCATCTCTGGAGACATTCAAAACCCGTCTGGATGCCATCCTGTGCAACCTGATCTAGGTGAACGTGTTCTGGCAGGGGGGCTGGACTAGATGATCCCCAGAGGTCCCTTCCAACCCCTGACACTCTGTGGTTCTGTGATTCTGTGACTCATGTTTGCCCTGGCAGTCCTCTACAAGACTGAACTCTTTGAGGCATCAGAGTCCAGAAGATTTCTCCACACTCTCCCATGGCTGCAGCCGGTGTGTGTACTCACAGAGAACAATGATGGATGATGAATCCCTGAGCCAGGGATTATCAAGGCCTTTCATGAAGGAAACCTAAGGGCTAATGTTTCTCCCTTAAATTCAATGTGATTACTAATGGAGACTAACTAAAACCTAAGATTCAGTGTGAAATGTGATATAAACAAGTGAAGAACACGTTGAAAGAAGATAAACAGCGCCTTTCAGTGCATTACTTTGTACTAATCTAAGTGTGTGTATTTAATATTTAATAGCTCATCATGAACTACAAATCACTGAACCAATAAATTAGTCTTTTGTGCAGTATTTGCAATGCCTTTCTGAAGTCCAATTACGAAAGTGCGTCCCCTTTCCAATTAATCTGAGTTGTTACTTTCTTAAAAGTTGAGATACTTTATGCATGGTTTCCCTTTTGTAAAACCATGCTGAATATCTAAGTACTAAAACACAACGGATTATGCAGCGGTATAAATAATGCAGACCTTCAGTGTTAATTGAAGCACAAGGCAAGGCAGAGTCGTGGCCTGAACTTTCAATTGCTACTTGCCAAAGTAATTCTAACTGACCTCAACGGGATCGTGCATGTTTGCTCCTGTGAGTAAACATTAGGAGGTTAGGTCGTTATCACTCCGGCATGTCTGAAGCAGCTTTCTTTTCAGCCACGCTGGAGTTCTTCTTTTCAACGTTACTGTTGAAGAACATTTATTAAGATATTTCAAAAAACCCTAAAGTCTTCCTTTAAAAATATCTCTGACTAATATAATCTGGGACAAAACTTACAACGTTGAAAATTTTTTTCCATACGTGCCTAAGATACACCACATTTTTCTCTATTCTTCCCTTTTCCCTACTGGTATTTAAGCCTCCCCATTTAACTGAGATATGGACGAATGGTTCTTTCTTCAACATTCCCCTTCCTTGTCTGACTCTATTATGGAAAAACAAAACCGGAAGAATTAAGCATCTCCCAGTTGTGCTTTCCAATAGAAAATTAAAGTATTGCAAACAGATTACTGGGCCACAGGAGGCACATTGTGGGATATATGATGACAGCAGGGCTTTGAAATTCAAATGTAGCTCTTTTTCTTTGAAATCCTGCCATAAGTGTAGCTCTCTCAGCACTGCCCTGAAGCTGAAACAGCTGCTTTAGTTTCCTTTTACAGTGATTTACTAATTGTTCAGTTGGAGAAGAGGGGCTCAGTCCTATAATTTAATAACAAGTGAACAAAAAGGCACATTGTACTTGGTAGTTTCCAGATCAGCTTCTGATAACTCAGAATAATACAAGAATCTTTAAGAATGGCATTTCCTGTGATCATGACGATTCTCTTTCTTAGATGCCCAGACAGACTCAGTGCATCCAACCAACTCACACTTAAGTATTTAAGGTGGATGGAACTTCAGCTTTTCTCAGAAGTGGAAGTGACATTTAACATAAGGCTGAGCTACCCAGTTACTTCTTGTGTTCTTTTTTTTTTGTCTTCCTACTGAGGTTGAGTGGGTAATTTAGTTCAGGTCTCTTAATTTTTACTGAGTTCCCTTCAGTAAGACTGTGCGCATCGATTTCTCAAGGCCAGACAGCCAATATTTGCTGCCCTCGTAGTTGGGAAATTCCGTGGCATCTGGTGGCTGATTTTGAAAACTCTCTGTTTCTTACTGTTTTACTGCTATCCTGCCAGAATGCAGAACACACTCCTGCTTTTCTGGGAAATGTGCCTGTCTGTCACTTGAACAGCATATCCTACAGCACTGACAAGGAAGTGGTGCAAGGCAAAGGTGGATCTCATAGCCAGGTGAAAAAGATTTTGCTGGTTAGGAGGCCTTAAGAGTTAAACTATCAGGACAGAAGAATAAAAATCTCCTCAAAACAAACAAATGAAAAAACCCTAATGCTAACTATATAGCAAATAACAAGGAAGATGAGACCACTGAAAACCCAGAAAGGAAAGAGTAAGACAGGTACCATACTCTGATGATAATGTATATATTATGATATATTTACGTACAATATACACAATACAATATTACATTGATATCTTCCTGTTTTCCCGTAATAACATTATTCGATGAGTTGGTTAATGTCAGCTTATATAACTTACTTAACTAATGGAAACTTCTCATTTTAAATCTCAGGCTAGAGATCTCAACTTATTTTGAATTAGAATTCCTGAAATAGTTTCCTTGGAGAATATTTCCGTTTCAACGTATACCCTCACTTTTCCCCCCAAAGTTGCATATTTTCCCCACCAGTTCAATCTCTTATATTCCTAATATTTTGAATAAAGCCAACAAAAGTTCTTTTTTACCTTTTGCTATTTCCTAGATTCTCACTGTAGAGAATTCTCATTCATGTCTCAAACTCCATGACATTTACTTCATCAATAGACTTAAACATCGCCTGAAATTCCCGAAAATTAGACTGTCATACTTTCAGTAGGTCAGCACAGACCAACATTTTGGAGTATACTACCTCTCACAAGTCAAAAGGGTAGATTGTCCATTTTAAAAATATCATTTGGTGAAAGAGGAAGGAGAAAGGCAGAAGAAGCAAGTGTGATTTTACGGTACAGGCCATGCTGAGAGCAAACTCAAGTGATAACACACTGCTGTGTCCTCTGGCAAGTTCTTCCCAAGTGAAGTTGTGCTATATATAGCAGCTAACTTGAGTCTGTCATACGGCATTGCCAGTCCTCACGCTGCAACAATTAAGTGACTCAATCACCAATTCAGCGTTGCTTTTCTTACTCGTGCACACAGAAACAGCTGTTTCACTGCCTTAGGGGCTTCTTTCCTTTGACACCCACTTGGCACAAGCTGTTTGGCAGGCTCTTGCTGACGCATTCAGTCAGTTCTGCTGCTGCTGCTGCTTTTTAGTGCTGAAGCCTGGAAAGCTTAAGCATACTGTAAGCTACAAATCCTGCAAAAGTGTTCTGCAAGGACCTGACTTTGTATGTCACCTTTATGATTCCTAGGCAAAATTAGTGTTGCAGCGGGGTGGCAAAGGAGAGATCTATAAAACACAACTGCCACAGCAACTCAGTGGTAGAAATTACACCCCCAGCAATATCCCAGCAAGAGAGACCTGGAACAGCTTTGTTGCTGTGGCCCCATCTCCACAAGGATACTACCAATAGAACACCAGACAGAATAACCAGGAGCACAGTCACAAATTTTAGTGTTCTTGAGTACATTAAAGGTGCATTTTGTTGTTCCACCTTTATCAGACACAGTATTTTTATCACCTCATTTATAATTTAGAGTTACCTGTCAGGCAAAAACTACTCAAATACACAGTCTTCATTTATAATTGAAAAAAATCATCCTCATATTCTCCTACTCACCCTCCCATAAGGTAATTAAGATTCTTACTTGCGATGGGAACGCCATTTGCTAACCAGCTTATATTAGGCTTCGGGTTGCCGTTAGCTCTGCAAATCAATGTCCCATCTTCCCCAGGGGACAAGACCAAGTTTCTGGGTGCTGTTATCCAGTATGGGGCAGCTGGGGTTTGGAAGAGAAACACAGCACTTGTTTTCCAAAATTATGTACAGAAAATCGTAAGGTAAAGTCATGGTAACCAGAAGATAAAATAAACAACGTTATGTATAGATGTAACTTACACTGTTAATTTTTTTATATATATATATATATATTTGCAATACTCAGTGATCCAGTGGTAGATTATACTTTGGCTAAACTGAGTTACTGGCTATCCGCTGCATTAAAATTCTGAGATAAGCAATAAGAGGTTCTTTGTTTTTTAGGATTGTGTGTTTGAATCTAATTTAATCTGCCTTCCCTAAAGAAAGCAAAATTTGAGTATGATATCTGCAGACTAGAGTGGTCTTCTGATTACTTTCAGAGATACCCATGCTTACAGTAGTTACGCTGTTAGAAATGAATTTAGGTTTGATTACACAGAAAGATTTCATGTCAAGGGTGAAATACAGAAATGACAAAATCCTCAGTCTTGTTGAATTCAGTGGGTGATTGCAATGGGGCCAGATGTTTACCTGAGACAGCTGAAAACACACAGAGATCAAAACTGATAGAACACTATCCTTACAAAAGATACTCATCTATGCCTCTATCTTTTTTACAATAAATAACCACACATAGCATATGTTATCACATCTTGCAATTAAATCTCAGATTTTGGATTGATGGACATATGCAAACAGAAAATTAAGCTTCTGCTCTTAGAAAGGAAGCTGAATGTGATCATAAAATGATGGTAGTCTAAAATAAAAGGCTATTTAGCATGCAAAGTAAGCACTACAGTTGATTATTTCAATGACTAATTAGCTGTCATTTCAGCTTTTTGTCTCATGGTATTCGAAACATACAATTTCTATTTGGACAAGCGTACCGTAAGTGTTTTCAGAACTAGTAAGACATCATCTTGAGTAAAAAACGTGAGGATGATAAGAAACCAGAAATGTCAATTAATGGAGGAAAAGGAAGAATATAAGACCATAAGACAATAGTAAAATAGAGAAGAGAAGGAATTTGGGCCATATGAACAGAGAGCAAAAAAGATGGAGAAAATAAATAGAAGAGAGGTGGGGAGGAAGATACAAAACAAGTGAAAGAAGCAGACTAATGACAGATAGTCAAAGGATCTAAAATAAATGTAGCACTGGTACAAGCTAAGAAATTATTTTACTACTGCTACAGTACAATCTCAATTTAACCTGATGCTCTACAAATTAACATATTAGAAAAAGATATTAAAGATACTAAAGTCTTTCCAGTGGTAAAATTTAGTCAGTTTAATTATCACTTCCTCGGGTTGTTTTTTTTTTTTACCACTATCATTCCTCCTTTCAGCCATATTTTATCCTAGAAAGCTTACTTCAACCTTATATTCTGGACATTGACAATATTGTATCAAGGATTATTTTAGCATTACCTTTCACAGTTACTGAAATGACATGATGAACAGAACCTAATATATTTCTTGCTATACATTTGTAGTTCCCAGAGTCAGCTTCAGAAACATCTACAATCTTGAGAGTTTTCTTAAAGTTTTCAAAAAACGTTCTGTTTGCTGGCAGTTCCCCACCCTCTTTAATCCAGCGAATTACTGGTGTGGGTCTGGAGAAGCAAAAGCACAGATCAGACTTAGGGACTGGAGAAAAGGAAGACAAGAGTTCAATACATTAATTTTTTGACCACATATTTTACCAATAATAATTTTAAGAGCCTTTTATGCACATTCTGGGGCACGTCCAGCAAATGCGCAAAATACGCCAGCATTTGTTTCTAGGAAATGACAAGCCTCACTAGGACTGTCAATGGCCATCTGTTGTAGGCTTAATAATTATACAATACATTTGTCTGCTGATTAATCTAAAACCACTGATGGCTAATGAATAGAAGTGTATTTCACTATAGAAGTGTATTGCACTTATACTACTAAATTGTTGCACATGGTGCTTCAAAAGGTAGGCTCTAGATAATGAAAATTTGTAATTCTTCATGGGAGTAATATCCCAAGGCTTCACAAACATCATAAATTTTACAGAAAAGCTAAGGAGATAGAAATATTTCCTATGGGAATTCAAGAAAAAAATGTCAGTGCTGAGTCAAGTATAGCTACTTGTCACTGCACCATGTCTAAATCTTGGCTTCAAGTTGTCCACTGAAATTGGAAGTTGTCCAAACACATGGAGATATACTTTTAAAATTACAATAAATTACCAGGTGTTGCTTACTGAGTACAATGTCCTCGCTCAAAGAGTAATGACTTAAGGCAAATATTCCCTCAGAAGTCTAATATAAGATATTTTATACCAAAGACCCCTAGCAAAGTTGACTTTTAATTATGGTATCAGTAATCAGGAAGAGTCTTTTTAAACAGAACCTGATTCTGGCCTCTTGTGGTCAATTGTGGTCAATTGTGTCAATTCCCTTACTGAACTATTTTTTTTAAAAAAAATACATGATGGCTAAAGACACAAAGCCATATAATGTACAACATTCTATTTTTAACCCATTTTCATCTAGCCATTTTACTGGAGCTTGGACCACTGAATTCTTTCCTTTTACAGCAAGGTTCTCAAAAAAGCAACTAACTGTATCACAGATGCTGCTGCTGATGCTGCTCCCCCTCATAGGAGTGGTTTTGCTGGTGGTGCTGATGCAGACACCTGAGCAGATCACAGCTGAGACAGAAAAGCCAGATCCATGCTTGTATCAAGCTGTGTCATACTATGCACGACCATGTCCTACGGAGCTTACGCAAGAGAATATACGCATGCGACGCTGCGCTGCACCGTTTGCAATTATTAGCTTTCCTCATGGCTACTTCAAAACACTGTATCATGTTTTTGTCTCCTATAAACACGTTTACAGTTCCTGAAGTAGGTACTAAAGGTTTTCCACTTCTGCACTAAGATTTCTTCCTGAGAACCAAACTTAGCTAACACCAAACTAATTAATGAAGTCAAATTGCTCTTTAGTCATTTTCTACTTGCACAATAACCAGCAGAAGTAAACTTAGATTACATCAAAGAAACAAGTACCAATTAAATTCAATTACAATGAGAAACTGGATGTAAGGAGCTGATGTTAAGTTCGAACAACTCCCACCTAGCTGATCTACTAAGTAATTATTAGCATATGTAAGCAGGTTTTTTACACTAAACTAGCAGTTTGTTATCTATTTTTACATAATTTGAGGGACTAGTGATTGTAAATTTAGGAAAAAACAGAGGCTCAATTTCTGAGTGCAATTCTGCCGATGTGTGTCCAAGTTTACTCCATGGCATTTTTTGCTTGTGTCCTATGGAGATGGTTTGGGGATATGAGAAGGCAGAGACTGTATTATGTTCACAGTCAGCTTTAAAATCTGCTGCCCAAGTAAATGGTGGACTTTGTTGAAAAAGCTCTTTCCATTTTAGTTTTCTGTTTCTTTGAAATACCTAAGTTTATACAGCAGTAACATTTTAAGCATCTCTGAAATGTTTCTCTTTGTTGCTGTATTTTTTGTTGGAAAAACGCTGTCTGAAAAGTAACTCACAATCCTGCTGCAATGCACTCCAACAAAAGTACATTTCCTCTGAGTTCCACTTTGGTACTTGTGCTGCCTGTTGGTGTTAGAAGAACTGGCTGTCTCTCTGTAACTGGCTTAGCTGGAACAAGAGAAAAATAAAAAGAATTAATGTTGAAATTTTATTTTAATACTGATCAAATTAATACATCCATTCTCACATTTTGGACAGAGATTGTGTTCCACATTGGCCATTTAATTAAAAATCATGTTACACACCTACCCAGCTCAACAAATTAGGTTTTTGACAGACATGACATATCTCAACCTGTTAAATGCTGGAGTTTTGAACATATACATGAAAATTATTATTATTAAAGATGGGACCAACTGAAACATAGATTTACATAGGCAACTATGCAGCCTGACAGATGCATGCAGTCCCTGTTCACTTCAGCAGAAGTGTTACAGGCAGTAAGAGGTTATGGATGTGAGTCATAGTGCAAGACTGAAAGTTACCAAAACTCTAGGCTTTTATCAAAACACAAACAAAGCAAAGTTATTGTATGCAGAAGTAAAAATCGAGAGGCTAAAAGGTGCACTTCTACTCTGCAATATCCTGTGTTCAATATTTTCTAGGAAATATGAGGCATTTTTTCAGAAATTAAGGTTCATATTCTGCTCTTACTATACATTTAACTTTAATTCAAGCTGTTCCCCAGTCTTGTAATAAAGAACCATTGATTAACCTGCAAGAAATAACCACAGTAAACAGATGTAAGACCCATTTCTGACATTATACTCTGGTGGCTTTTGAAGTATTATGGTATTTCATGTGCCTTCATGGGAAGTCAGAATAAGAGTCCTTGCTGTAGTAATAGAGTGCTTTCTGTAAATAATCCTATGTTCCTTTACAGCAATTTTAAAATATAGGATTAAATTGCTCTGAAGTGCAGTAGCAGTCCGAATCATTACAGTAAATCATTTTATTTTTAAAAAATATGTTCAGAAACACAATAAATTTGTTTATTAGGATACAGGGTTTACTGATAGATTAGTGTAACTAGAACACTTAATTTTAATACAGTATGTGCTATGAATTCCTTAAAAGCTAGTACATGAACGACTTAAAGTTGGGAGAAAAGGGCAGTCTAGAGTCAAGAATGCAGGTAATATTGACAGGCAATAACTACTCTAGCCAGCTTTGGCACTGCTGAGAACTGCTGACGGCTTTTGCAAGACTCTGAAAATTCAGAATTATCTCTGCTATTTCTGAGTTGTGAGCCAACCGAATGTGAGCCAACTGTAGCTATACTATCACTGCATGCTCAGGTACATATTTCTTGTTTGTCCCTGAATGATATCTTATTTTATATAGAATATTAAAATTTATAATAAAATATGTTTTATTTTGGATTCCCACGAATTATGGTTTAATATGTACAAAGTCCTATTTGACAAGGAATAAGACAAAACCAGAAAAAATACCATGTATTTTCTATCTATCTCACACGTTATCAAGTGAAGACTCTAGAACCTCAAATGTTACAGTATCAGTGTTGCTCCAAAGTCAGCCTTGCTGACCACATCCACCTGTTCAGGAGGATTTAATTTACAACATACAGAAGACCATTCAGCATGGATTAATGTAAAGATCAGCTTAAACACCAGACGAACAAAACTCATCTTTCCCCTACAAAGTTATTGATACAGACAGCAGTAAAGTGTTTAGATTTTAACTGATTCCAGTTTTACACTTATGAAATATGTTAAAAATGAGTGGTACATTCAATAAGCTATTGAATGTGAAGTGCATTTGTTAAATGCTTAATTGTTGTTATTTCTTATGCAGCATGTGATATTGAATAGTCCTAGTGATAATGAACATATCAAACTGTTATATAACAGTTATATATAACATATCAAAATACAAAGCAACACAGTATGGAAGCAATCAAATAGAACAGTTTTAAAATCTGCTCCAGTGTGAAAGAGATCATCCATTATAAGAGTTCATATTTTTATGAGCCATATGTTATAATATCGAAACATTAAGTATTTGAAAGGATCACACTGTGCAGTCCCTTTCTAACGTATGTATTATCACCAGCACTAATAGATACCTTTATTAGAAACTGAAAAGGAGTACAAGGTTAAGTAGCCATGGAAGTGAAGTTAGTTAACTAAATGCTACTGTGAAACAGGGAGCATCAGTGGGGACCAGTGTAACTCACCACCATAAATATCAGTGTCACTCAAATTAGCAGCTATAGTGTCATTCAATGAATCCACTGAAATAAACAGAATATCATGAAGAATGCATAAAAGAGGGATAAATCAAAGTACTGGGAATCAAAAGGAGATGAAGTGGCCACGGCAAGTTAATCAAATGATTGATTAATTTCTTTCAATAGTTATAATAATCATAGTAACTTTATATTCTTGGACATGAAAACCATCACTTCTTTACATTGCATTTACACATCATTTTTTACACTGCATTTTTTCAGTATTTCAAAACTAACAAAACACATTTTCAAAAGTCAAAGCCTTGTAAAGGGAAAAAATGACAGCTTTTAAAAGGAATTGTTTGTCATGAAAACTGGAGATTACATTTTAAGTTTACACACTATGTAACTTATTCAGATTTAAAATGGCAAAATTCCCTAGCATAACACTATTTAACTTTGGCAAATGACTTGAAACTTCTGGATAAATACTATGTAAGTATGTAATTAGGTAATGTAATACCTACTTGAAAGGACTTTTACAGAAATGGGTTGTTTCTGCTGTATAGTTTGCGTATGATTAAATCTTGCATAGCAGATATAGTCCTCCCGGGTGTCTTCTGGTTGTACGTTAGAAAAATAAAGGTCTCCATTCAGACCTTGGGAAACTCTTTCACTTTGAGGCAGTCTTTGGAAAGCTAAAGGAAAATGAGAACACATCTCAATTATAATACACATTCCATTATTTTGATCTGCAGACTCCACATTTGCTCAATCACGCTGCTTGTGGGTTTGTAAATATAGAGACCTTTCTAAGGTGCCTCTTGAGTTCCCTTATCTTCTCATCCTTCCCCAGTGGATTAATCTACAACTTACATTAAGATCTCCAGCTGCTTTTGGCTTCACACTTTCAGGCTGCATGTCTGCCTGTTCCTTCGTTTCTACAGAAATGGAAATTCTTTGAATTTTAACTTAGAGGGAAACTCCACCATCTGCGGTCTCGGTAAGCAACGATCAACTATATAGAAAAACTGCAAAAAGTAGATGAAGTCTGCATAAGAAACCAACTCACCGTTATCCATCCAAAATATTATAGGTGGTGGTAAGCCAACAGGAGGTCTGCAGTGTAGTACTAGGGAATCACCTTCTCGAACTTGATTTGGTTCTAGTTTTTCTTTTGTCCACAAAGGGGATCCTGTAGAAAGTAATTGTAACACACAGACAAACTATGGATTGACAAAAATTTCAGAATTTATGGAAGAAGTGCATATAATATTCCAGAAAAAAACAGAACTACATGCATCAGAATTTTAAGTCCTATCATGTTTACTAAAGTTTTAATTTTTGGTATTTACGTCTTCTTGGGAGACAAGTAGGTTCGCTTTAAAACATTTTGTACAGCAATGATTTGCTGCAAGTACAGTCAACTGATTCAGATTATTTTGGCTACTCACTGAAGGTTCTGTAACAGTATCTTGGAAAGTTTTAGGTATGGTAATAAAAAAAAAAGAAAAAAGCAATGCACTAAATTAGAAAAAAGAAAAAAAGCAGACCTACCTGAAACAGTACTATACACAGTTTTATTAAAATGTGAGAACAGCGCATTTTAAGGCAAGAAGCTTGAAAAACTGATCTGAGATGAAAGTGACATAAAAAGCTGTAGAAACAGTCTATCATTAATCAAAATTTTTTACCTTCTGTTCTGCATTAAAGCAATTGTAGAAACTGTGACATACATGCACCAGAAAGAGAATCAAAATTTTCCTCATCAATGACATGTGTTAAGGATTTAAACATTTTACTCTACTTGTAGTGTTACGCATACAACCCAATTTTAAAGATGATGGGTCATCCAAATGTAGCAAAATAATCAGGGAAGTTATTAGGTCATTAAAATTTTTAAAGAATATTGGAATGAACATGCAATATATTATTAAATCGGCATATCAGGAACTACACAATGCCTTCTAACAATACTACTTTGTTGATTAAGTTTTTAACATGGAAAAAAAAGTGAAACATTTGTAAGAAATTCAGCAAATCAAAGAATTTCACATTTTAAGAACATTAAGAGCTTCACTTACTAGAAGGCCTTATAACGATATTGTTGGAAATGGCTGCTCCTCGTTCATTCCGTGCTGTACACTGGTACACTCCTTCATATGCTTCTGCCTTCCCACCATTCATAATATTTATGACAAGGGTCCCTGAATTTGGTTTCATTGTTACTTGTGCATCCTTATCTATATCAAAATGAGTTCCATTGCGTGTCCAGGAGAAGCTAAAATAGTAAAAACAGAGAGTAATTTTCTTCTTCAGTTGCCTTTTGTAGATTGTATAGAGAAAAAGAAGAAAAAAGGAATGTTCAAAATATTTTTTCTTTAGCAGATAAGACTTCTTCCCAAACTAAATTAACTAATAAAGTAATACAGCATTTTTTTAATATAAGGAATCTGGCAATACTTTAAGATAAATGGCTGTCTGAACTCGTTAACGAGCCATTTCAAAGTCAATATTTTTAAAAAAGAATTACATTAAAAGATTCTGAAGTTAATCGTGTATGGAAAAGAACTGACTTTCTTTCTATTAAAGATGATACAGTAACATCTGCGAGAACTGATATTGCTAAAGCTGCATTAGCATTTCCATTATAAAACCTATTGTTGAAAGGGTTTATAAACCTGCCTTTAAAAACTTGCTCTGGGCTGAAATGTGTCGTCTCAGTCCCCAGCAGGAGACCGTTTCTTTTAATTGGTTTGGTCATTTTTAAGTTGTGCAAGTGAATTAAAGACTTTGTGGTGAGTTTGATTTCAGTACTCTAACGCAATCAACTATGGTTTTTCAAATGAAATTTTGCAGTTGATAGCCTATAATTAAACTAGTAAATTTATACTGGTGTTACTCAAAGTAAGACAGATTTGCAGTCTGCAACTTATACTACAGTAAACATCAATTTCTTACTTACACTGTTAATGGTCAAAATTATAGTTTCAGAGAGCTAGACCAGTGCCTGCCAAGTGCTGAGCATTTTTTGCACTTGTGACATTTCAGGTTCACAATCTTAAACGCTGTATACGTTCCTGGTTAGAATGCTTCCTTCCTAAAAGTATAAACTCAAATGGTACTCAAAGCTCACACAGTGAGTGACTCCAATTCTATGACGACTTTTTGCAGCAGAAGGGCAGGACTGGACATTCTATTTGCACTTTGTGGTGGGGAAGAGCAGAAGAACTAGACCTGACCAGCAGCACTGCACCACACCACCACGTTTTTGGGAGGACCAGCATGCACAGCAGTGAACCTGTTTCTCATGACCTCGCAAGTGAAGCTGCAGAACATGGTGTTTCTGTCATGCTCTGCTACCAATAACGCCAAAGGATACAGGGAACTGTAACGTAGCTTCACGTGAGAGGTGGCAACTGCGGTACAAAACCCTGAGTGTGAGATATGTGAAAGTCAGAATCTTTGCTGTTCAAACTAGAGGTAGCAGCATGTCCACAAACCTTTATCCCAGCTGCTCTCACCTATAAGAATTCACCCCGTTTTAACAAACAATCTGTACTCTAGGCTGGGAAAGTTAATTTTCAACTTCAGAGTTCTGAAGCAGATTGAGTTCCAATATGGATCTGCAGGTCCTCAAGACTAATCACAGAATCATCGAATCTAATGTGTACAAATATGTAAAGGGCTGATGTCTGGAGGACAGAGACAGGCTCTTCTCAGCGATGTCCAATGATAGGACAAGGGGCAATGGGTACAAGCTGGACAACAGGAGGTTCCACATAAACATAAGGAAAAACTTTTTCACTGTGAGGGTGACAGAGCACTGGCACGGGCTGCCCAGAGAGATGGTGGAGTCTCCTTCTCTGGAAACATTAAAAATCCACTCGGATGTGTTCCTGTGTGACCTACTCTAGGTGATCCTGCTCTGGCAGGGGGGTTGGACTAGTGATCTCCAGAGGTCCCTTCCAATGGAACAGACTAACTACTGAAATAAATTATTTGGATTTCATATCTTTAAAAGTAAGCAAAACTAAGCACAAGCTTGTAAAGCTCAACAGAAAATTTTGCATTTCAATCTCGTCACTTCCGCTCTAGCAGGGGAACAAAGTGAGACACCAGTTTGATGGGCAAGACGAAGCTGTACAGCAGAGAGCCCAGGAACATGACTCAGATATGCCAATCTTACAGAAAGTGCTCTTTGTTCTCTCCAACCCAAAAGAGGCACTCAAGAGAGACATCTGCAGAAGCACTACAGTTGTCCCAAAGTGCACAATAATCATCTGATCCTCCAGGTCAACATCCAGACTCTTAAGAATGGCACTGTCTGCTAAATAGAAATGCCGGTAAACACAGCAGCTTTATGGCACTCCTACTGTTAACAGAATACTAGAAAAGGTGACACATAAATATCCCACATATTCTCCATCTTCTTCACTCTGTTGCCCAGCATGGTAATGACCTTGATCCCAAGGAAATCAGAATAATGCAGGAAAAAAACCTGATTATTCAGAAGTAGTCCATTTAATGAGCTCTGTGTGTGTCAGAATGAATAGCTACAGACTGACCTTGCCAGTAAGTTGTAGCATAACACTACTGGGAGCAGAGAGATGCATATTTCTTTTCATAGTCTCTGAAACCAGAAGCAGTTACTAGCAATGCCAGAATGCCTCACACTACTGCCGTTTCCAGTGCAGATACTCAGTATCTTGAAATAAGTAGTTTTCAAATACCTCAAGATACTTACCCAGGGCCTTAAAAATGGAAGATGATCAGGAAATCTAATCTATACACAGGTTTACCATTTCTGTCATACCCAAAACTCAAAGTTATTAAACACACTTGGTAAATCAAGGCTGCTGATCATTGAAACTGATACACATTACATAACTTCCAACAAAATGCTTATATATTTCAAGATGAGACTCGTGAAAGAGAATTATTTAAAAAACATTAAATCTGAATTTATTAGTGGTACTCTGAACTTATTCAATGTCCATTCTTCTTAGATACCATGCCTAAATCTGGAATAGGATCCAGTTCGTAGCATGGCATATCTCTTAATGCATTCCCTGGGCATTTACCTATCTGCTCTCCCAATAATCAAGTATTTTTTTATTGTTTGAGCTTTGAGGAGAAAAAAATACTAGTTGTTTGATGACTACAGAAAAAATTAAATGTCAAGTATGAGAAGAGTCAAATTTATGCCACTATCTAGTAGCTGTTTAAATCACAAAGGTAGGAGTGTGTGCATGTTTCCATGTATTCAAGCACATACATAAGCACAGATTTCTCAGTTTACGGAAGTTACATTACCTTCTCCTAATTTTCCTATGCTGTTAGGCCAACAAAAGCAAAACAAAATGCTACTAACCTAGGAGGTGGCTTTCCTTTTGCTTCACACTGTATTACAATATTCTCTCGAGGGTCAACAATGTAATCTTTCGGAGATTGCTGAGTTATCGTAGGAGGTTGCGACACTTCATTATGGAATATAAGAAACAGAGTGGAATTTAAAAATATTTTCAAAGTACCAGCAAGACAGTTTTGTAAAGCAGAGAAAGCAGAATTGCAATTAGCAACCAAAGAGTGGGATTAAAGTATCCTTTGTGTTAGGAGGTTGAAGCTCTCTACTCTTACAAATCAGTGTAGTTACACTAACTTCCAAATGAGTTATGCTGATTTATAGCAGATTAAGATCTTGGTCAAAAAATTTAATGAATATAATTTCTGCACATCAGATTTTAAAACATTTTCACAAAACCAAAGGACAATTGAATTCTAAGTCCAACATATCCTGAATGAAGAGCTGTGAGACATATACCCATAACAAATGTTTTTCACCACACAAAAGAAAAAACTCAACACGCTGCTTTGTATTTCTAAACATTTTACGTATTTCCAAATTCTCTATGGGTGTAAACTTTTTGCGTTTATTGTGTTCAACATATTGAATTAATCTACAAAGCATGCTTTTAGGAGCTACTTTTCAGGAGTAAAAAATGTGTTATAAGACTTTAAAGAATGTCAGAAATAGAAACTTGATTCCAAATGGAGTAAATACGTAGGAAAAGTCTAGTACTGATTCTCCTAAAAACCAACAAAAATATAGTCAATCTTCTGAACTGACCCCAGGAGAAACAAACATTTAACATTTATGATTTATCAAGTACTTTAGAATAGGTAGCACAAACCAATTTATTCACCTAACAGAGGAGTTGGTGCCTACCTATTTAAAGTGATCTTTAGTCTGTTACCATTATCTATCACCATCTTTGCATTTAAAAAACTGTTTATGATATTAAGATAGTAAAAAAGATGTCTTCCTCAACATTATTCATCTTTATATAGTTTAGTGTCATCTAAAGGAATCACATGAACATCCCTAACAAGCCCATGAACAGCCCATGTCTAAATGTTGTAAATTGTCTGTCCTACAATACACTTTGCTAGTTCTTTGGGGTCATTTCCAGCCACTTTAGCAAAATATTTCAATCATTAGATTAGCTGTGCTCTCATGCCTCACTCTGGACAATAAAAACTGTAAAACTGGGATTTTTATTGTAAGTCTTCCCTACCATTAGAGAGGTAGCCAACTGTAAAGCCCTACCGACAAGAAATAGAAAGGAAAAAAACCTCACATCATGGAATCACAATGAGATATAGCAGCTAAGCAGAATAAAACAGTTCATGCAGAGCTGGATTTTGCATCACTTCCTCAATGCAGAGAGGAGAGTGCTTAAAAGAGGAAGGCATTATTTTTATATGATGATGACTTTTTGTCCATTTTTTTAGATAGGTACTTTGAAGACTGTCCTTTTCCCTCTCAGAGGTATTTCTTGGGGTACTTATGATACTTACTTGGGAAAAGCAAGCACACTCTGAAAACTGACATGACATGAACACTGCCCAAATACAGGATATTTCAGCTGATGCACATAACAGACCTGAAGTCTCCACTCACATGCTATGTACTGCACTGAATACCTATTAAATTAACCCTGACAGCAGAGGTGAGTTAGGAGAATCCATAAAATATGAGGTCTATTTAGGCACATCCACTGTCTTTTAAGGATACAAAAGCATCTCCAGTTTCGACATGTGAAACAGTATGTAAGTATATATATTTCAATGAATTTATTTTTTATCCAATATATTTACTCCTGAAAGTAGTGATAAAACAATGCTCATGCTGATACTGAATAAAGATTTTAACGTTCAGATAGCACACAATCAAAAATCACACAATTAATTTGTTCAACATATCAGAACACTGACTTAGGTACAGTAGTATTTGCTGAACACTGCATGCACAAAATAGCTATGGTAAACTAAATTATCAGCAAAATGTCAGAATCACACTTTTTTGGACTGCAAATTCAATTTGCAACACTATCAGTATTAGTTTTCAGCAGCACACAGCCTAGTTTTTGTGGACAGGAACTTACATTCTTCTAGAAGTTTTGCTTTTATTCGCCCATCAGAATCAGCAGTTGAATGGACAAATGGAGATTAAAGAGAAACATTTGTTAGTTAAAAGAAAATTAGCATTTTTTGAGAGGGAAGATAAGTATCTCTGACAAGTACACTGGTCACCATTAAAAAGAAAACATTTAAAACACTTAGCACTGTAACCCATGCAGTGATGCCTGAAAATCCAGCCATCATTTTCACTGTGTCAGATATTGTTACATTTATCTCAAAGTTCTCGTATTAGAAACTTTTCTAGAGTGTTGACTTTTTAAGGGCAACCGTGGTATGTGATTTTGGCCTTGCAAGGACATGAAACAGTGATACTGAGGAGATAGCAAATCAGAATTAATGGAGTGCACTGCTCTCATGCTGCAGTCAAAATCAATCCACCCATACAATCATATGGAAGAACAAAGAGAATGCCTCAGGCTAAAATTACTCTTACAAAGACAAAAAGCACATAATTCTGCTCAACAGACATGCAATCCCTTTTGGTTTGAAAAGTAACCAAAGAAATCATTTTAGTTGTCACAACTTCATTGTTTATTTCAAATATTCTGCATACACATCTCCTTACCAAGAATGTTTTAGAGCAAGTCAAACTGCTTTTGGTCAGGTACATTGTCAGTCATCCCTTATCTACTGTGAGGCACTGATGAGCACAGGAACTGCTAATCTGGATGAAACCTAAAGGTTCAGTTAATCAAGTATCTTCTCATCACCATGAGTCTGTAGTGGGTATGCAGGGAAGACCCACAGAAAATATCAGTCCTTCCCTTGTGCTCTCCTAGAGCCTATGCTAATAATTATTTATGAAAGCAATAACATTGTTATAGATGAAACTTTGGTTAATTGATTTTTGACTTTATCAGACCTAATAAAACTGGAAGGTACAAGTTAATTGAGAGTTAACATGATACATCTGAAAGGGCTACTGATTTTTGTTTGTTAATGCTTTTCTGTTTAATTTAACCTGAAGTGTTGCTCTATACAAAAGATATCAGAGCAGTGCACAATTTACATTAATTCCTAAACCACAAGAGGGGTTTAAAACTCTATTTCTAGCTTTCAAAAGTATTTAGGGAGAAAAAATAAGTTTAGAAAGTAAGGCATTCATTGCTAAACTTTTAAAGCCCTCTTTAAGACACAATTTATTTCTCTAAAGGCATTCACAGCACAAGTTTGATGTGATGCAGATATACTGATCTCATTACAGAAATACAGGTCATTGGTTTGAGAAGCTTATAAATATGCACAGAGTAAAAAACACCAAAGCAGCTGCAATTCATGTCAGTGATTACTGAAGAAAAACATGCATTTAAGAAAGGTAGGACAGTATCAAAAACATGGGGGTAAAGGAATCCATGCAAATTAGACTCATAGGCAAATTTACTGATGTATTAATCCATCAGTTTAGCGCCAGCCCTAATGTTCTCTCCTCTGGTAATTAGTTTAACAAATGAATAGTCACTGTTAGGTGCAACATGGTTCACTGAATTTGGAAAATGTAAGATCATTCTTATCTTAAGAAGAAAATAACAAACTGAAGCCTAAATAATTTCATAAAATTAGCTATGAGGGCTATAAAATGCAGCAGCTACCATTGCTTCCTTTTCAGCATGGAGTGCTACCTTCCAGGTCACCCACTAACACAGCCTTATTTTAGACAACAATTTCAATTCTTGGGATTTCCACTTTTGTACACGTTTCCTCATTGCTTAATGCTAGAGTTCCCCGCTATGCACACATGCTTTTCACCCACAGTTAGGTACTTAACTGTCTTCAGGCACTGCTCAGGAAATCTAAGAGCCTAAATTACTCTTCTGCATCCAGAAGTAAGATGCTTCCAGAATTTTAGGTATTTGAATCTTTTACTAGGTCCCATATCTGCTCCTGGAAACCTCTTATATGAACAAAAGGGAGATTGTTTACTGCAACTAGCAATCGTCCTGAGGTTTTCAGCAAATTGTCAATATGATCTTAATTTCACAAGTAATGAGCATTTAACTGGGCTTCTTCGCCCTTTTTCATTTTAGTCAAAGTATTCAATGAAGGCACATCAAAGTGTGAGTATCCATGAGAACTCTACATTAACCCTTCTAAAGTGAATCATTTAAGTCATTTCATAAGCATAGTTTTTTAAAATCTGCAGTAAAATAGTGTAAATATTCATAATTATAATGTCCTGAATGAAGTGAGTAAACACACTCCATGTATAGCTCCATGTTGGAGTTACTTTTTCTCTTCCCATACAGAAGTTATTTAACTAATCTTCCATTATTCTGCACTTATTCAGCAGGTTAATACTTACAGTCAAGAGGTACATCCAGTGCAGAAATCATTTGGCACAGAAAGAGGACCAAGGAAGCTTTGCTTGAAGATATGCTCCTCCTTATCATCATGATTTTAGGCTGTATGAGTAAATTACACTTGAAGAATGAAGATCAGCTTCATCAGACTAGGTAGCTTGGAATAGTTCTGTAAATATAGACAAGAAACATAGTAACTAAAAAAAAAAGAATAACAATATGTAGATACTATGGAGAGTTGAATGATCACACCTTAATAATATTATGAAATACCATCAGTCTACATACTATATCCAGGAATAATAGTTACACCATGTGCTCTAATGAAATTCAAGCAGAGATCCAGAAATTCTTAGCACACCTAGATCATAACACTTTGGTACGGAAGTGAGTAAACAACTCCTACAATTTTGTTGAATGGAAATACAGATGCCTCTCTTAAGAAGGATGAAACATCAGCCCACCTAGTTAAAATCCAGTATACGCAAAGGTCGTAGTCCTCTGAAGCAGAATTAGGAGGCTAAAGCTCTGTATGTCAACTAGTCTCCTTTTCAAACACCCTGCACAATTCTTTTATTCCACTAAAACACCCTGCACAATTTACTCCAGTGGAAACACATCTGACTACAGATTTGCTAAGTAAATTGTGGGATCCTCCTGCAGCTTTGAGTTCAGCATCTGAGCTTCTCCCCAGTTTGAAATTCTTTCTGATAGACAGCTGTAGAATGAATATAAAAACCTTCGTGGGTTGCCATGCTGAAGTGCTAGCTTGTGCACTGTATAGGAACTTAGGCTCCTATTCCTAGATTTTTGATTCTGAAGACGTGGTTTTAGCTGGAGCCATAGTTATAGCCAGAACTGCAGTTTTAGCTGATATGTAAAAGAGTCAGGATGCTCTTACCAAACAGAATCAGTGGGACAATGGAGGTGTGAGACAGGTATTCCACAAGCAGAGCTTATCCCCAAGGGCAGGATGTTCTTCAAAGATGGAATGCCCCAGGACTCCCAAGGGCCATTAAGATATGCAGGACCAGCCTAGGCCAGCCTTGGGGTCTCTTAGCAAAGACAACTGAGTTAACTGAATGGAGCCCATCAACAGGACAGCCCGATGAAGACTACCATGATGAAGTAAAACGACCACCAGAGACCCTGACGACCACCAAAAGACGGTATTATGCGGCAGTGGGCGGCAACATGTTAATGAGTTCTCAGAAAGTGCATGAATATGTGTATCTAAACTGTATAAAAGCTGTACGTCTGGCCTTTCTCGGGGCACACACCCTGTGGAGCTATCCCAGGTGTGCCCAGCACTGCAATAAAGAATACCTGCTTAATAGACATCAAGGCTATTAAGTTCTGATTTCGGCCTTTTCACGGCATCAGTTCCATCCAAAACACATAACATCAAAATACTTTCGCATTTCTAGCCTGAACTCCATATCTAATTAACTGGCAGGACTAATTAACTCTCTACTCCTCCTCCGTGGAGCTATCCCAGGTGTGCCCAGCACTGCAATAAAGAATACCTGCTTAATAGACATCAAGGCTATTAAGTTCTGATTTCGGCCTTTTCACGGCATCAGTTCCATCCAAAACACATAACATCAAAATACTTTCGCATTTCTAGCCTGAACTCCATATCTAATTAACTGGCAGGACTAATTAACTCTCTACTCCTCCTTTCCCATGTGAAGAGGTGGCAGAAATGAAACTTAAGTGAAATCTGTTCTTTGAAATGTACTAGATTTTCCCCCTCAACCAAGCATGAGAGATCATATTAGCCATGGCAGAACAATTCTGGCTCTCTCCTTATCTTCACTGCATTCAGGACCAAGCTCTACCTTAGAAGAATGCTGAAGAAGTAAAAGCTAGCTGCCTGCAAGCCCCATCCTCATCATCACCAGTGACTTACAAAGTGCTGCAAGAGTATAGACTTAGAAATGCAAATGGTGCTTAGACAATGCATTCTCAGTAAGCAGATACCAGGTGAGAAAGTATTTCCCAGATGCCAAATTGATCAGAAAGTTTACAGTGGTCATCATTAATTCACCTTGAAGAGAGCACTTCTTCAGCTATGCCACAGATGTGAAACACAATGCTATCAAGTCCAGAGGAGTTAAAGTTGCAAAGAAGCACGAGATGCTTCCTGAAGTTACTGAAAACCGTCTATGCTAGGAATTTGCCTCAATCTTCAGGTTACAGGAGAAATTATGTCTCTTAATTGTTGCTGTAAATGGTCTTTCTCTTTGTACAGTCTTCTGGAAAATTGGAAACCAGAACTGAGGTGTAGAGCTCAATCTTTCACCCTAACTTGGCACATCAAACTCCTTGATTCTTACTGCCACTATTTGTAACACAAATGTTCATTTCAAACCCAAAATGTCCCAGTAGGTTAAACTCCTGGAGTCATACCACTCTTCAGAGCTCTCGAGAACTTCTGACTGGGGCATGACATGAATTTGCAAATTCCTTACTGATGTTCAAAACTATCCACGGTACTGCAGACCATAACAAAACAAACATTCATCATACTAGGTTAGAAAGGTTACAGAACTCTTCACAAGAGCGAACACCTGAGTTCTAGCCTTTGCATAATTATTTATACATACCAGACTACCAAAACAGACAAGGTGTCATGACTAACTCCAAAATAACCAAAAAGTGGCTAAGGCACAGAGCAAGGAAGCATGACCAAGGCCAACATCATGAAATTCAATAGGGCCAAATGCTGGGTCCTACCTTTCGGGCACAACAACCCCCAGAAGCGCTACAGGCTTGGGGAGGAGTGACTGGAGAGCTGCCAGGCAGAGAGGGACCTGGGGGTGTTGATGGACAGCCGGCTGAACATGAGCCAGCAGTGTGCCCAGGTGGCCAAGAAGGCCAACGGCATCCTGGCCTGTGTCAGGAATGGTGGTGTCCAGCAGGAGCAGGGAGGTGATCATGGCCCCGTACTTGGCTTTAGTGAGGCCTCATCTCGAGTACTGTGTCCAGTTTTGGGCCCCTCACTCCAAGAGGGACACTGAGGCGCTGGAGAGGGAACGAGGGCAGGCTGCCAAGCTGGTAAAGAGCTTAGAACATCAGTCTTACGAGGAAAGGCTGAGGGATCTGGGGCTGTTTAGCCTGGAGAAGAGGAGATTGAGGGGAGACCTCCTCACCCTCTACAACTACCTGAAGGGAGGCTGTAGTGAGGCGAGGGTTTGGTCTATTCTCCCTCATGGAGAGTGATAGGATGAGGGGAAATGGATTTAAATTGCTCCAGGGGAGGTTCAGGTTGGATATTAGGAGCAATTTCTTAACTGTAAAGGTTGTCAGCCATTGGAACAGGCTGCCCAGGGAGTTGGTTGAGTCACCGTCCCTGGAGGCATTTAAGAGACCGGTGGATGTTGCGTTGCGGGGACAAAGGCTGGACGTAATGATCTTCTGGGTCTCTTCCAGCTGATACAATTCTATGATTCTGTGATTTTAAATGAGTACCCTAAAGCACTGCGGGTTTAGCTAGGAAAGAGGAGAAGTATTTCTCCCTTCCCACTTCTGGCACATACAGTTTCCTATGCTCCTGCTGCAGTGAGTGAGGGGAAGGAAAAAGGGTTTTCTTGAGAGCACTCCGGCGTGTTTCCTGCCATGAAGTGTCCCCTAGAAGAACGAATTTTGTTCCATGGACTACAGCTGTCTGCTCTTCTTCAGTTAAACTCACACCCTGTTTTCCTGTTCTTTAGCTTGTCTTCTCACTACAGTATCACTGCAGTTAACAAGATGCCCTGTCCATTAATGTGTTTGACTCAGGATTTACAGGATACTCTCTGGAGTATTCTACAAGCAAACCTCGACTTCTATTGTTTCTTCTCCGAGCAGAATTTCAGTTCTCCTTAAGAAACTCTGAGAACCTGATTATCCGCTTTATTGTCTTGTTCTTTTACCGTGTAAAATGAGTATTGCAGTGATCTGAGAGTATTTTAAAACTAAATTGCATTTCTTTTGAACAAGTACAAATGAATATGCAAGCATGGTGAACCAGGCATGTGCAATTAAAGTGATGGGGAAAGTAATACCCTCGAGAAAATGCCTCACATCATCTACCTCTGCTACTGCAACATTCCAGTCGAATACCTATTGAGTCTACTGCTGGGACCTTTTGATATAAAATGGGAATTCAACAGGCAGTGGGAATTGTAAAGCTGAGCTTGCACACCGACTTCATCATTCTTCAGGGAAGCAATGCACCCAAATGGTTTGTGATAGAACATATTTAACCGAAAATGATTCTAGGTTTGTCAGCACAACTGGGTGCTCTTGTTGAATACATTCAAGATTAAATCTGACATAATTTAGTATGAATATAACAGCTGCTAAACAGAACTAAACATTGCTTTGACATAATATTATCTGCTACAAAATAAGGCCAGGCCTCTAAGTGAAGATCAGTGTAAGGGCTTTAATTTCAAAACCTGAAATATTTATACAGCAGATTGCCTTTTCCTCCAGATAATTTAAGATCTCTTGAAATTCAGACATTTTATCCTACCCATTTAATAGAAAACACATTAATTTTGACAGCTCATTCAGGAGTCTATTTGAACTGATTTCTAGAATATAAGATTCTCTGTACCTACATACCTCTTATGTACATAGCAAAATATCACTTTTTATATCTTCTGTGCTTCTTACTGAGATGCTGATTTTTAGCAAAAACATGGACTAAAGGTTGAAGCTATGGAGCAGCAAACAGGATTCAGTGAGCCTGAGGTAGAATGTCTGGAAGGACCATAAAATACCATTTGGTGCTAGTGATGTCTTTGCTGTGACTCACATGTCTGGACACTTCTTGCCATAAACCAAAAAACCCAAATACTTTAAAAACACTGAAGGAGCTAGGGAAAAAAAGCATATATTTGGGAGGGAGGCACAATTCAAGATTACTTTTCATATCATAAATCAAATTGGACAGGGACCTCCTTCTTGATTTTAAGTGCTTAAGAGCAAACGAATGACAGAATCATAGAATCATTTAGGTTGGAAAAGAAATTCAAGTTCATCAAGTCCAACCTTACACTGCCAAGTGCATCACTGGATCATGTCCATCATGTCCCTAAGTGCCACATCTATGCATCTTTTAAATGC